GGGTCGGAAACGCTCGTCCCTGTTCTTCCTACGACTTGTAGAGACGACGAGACACTCCGGCACGCTCTTGTCGCCAGCGATAAGCTCCGTGCCTCTGTCGATCACGTCGCCGTATCACTGTGTCCGCCCGATGGCGAATATCGCTACGACTCGAGCGTGAATCGTTTCAATGCATGTTAAAGCTGGTTCCTTCGCGATCCTCTTTGCGAAGTGTCATAAACTCTTTGATAAATCGAAGGATTTAATCTTTCAAAATTACACTCGACTAACGCGTCCTTCGAACGTATAACTTATCACTGCAAACGTCGTGGGTCGTACGTCCTTGCACGAATCAGACCGCACGATTTTGTCAGTCTTCATACACACGTGAACTTTTGTGTCCATAACAAACTTTCAGTCCACTTTGTAGTCCACTTTCAGCGCGTATGTTATTTTCACCGATCCATTGCGAAGACGTTTAACTCAATGACAACACAACGACAGCGAGGATGACAACACGATGACAAAAGTTATCGCGCAGACGGCGACGACGGCTGTCGCGCCGAGTTCGTCCGCGGGACGTCAGCAACTTATTCACTGGTTCACGACAATGATACTTTCATGTCACAAAAAAACGAAAAACGAATCGCGATAACACCGAGCTCTAACGACGGAAACGCGTACGAGCACGAGGGAACCGTAACGTGAATACGATTGTGACGATGTCAATGACGAGATGACAGCGAGGAAGACGACGGCGACGACGGCGGCGGCAACAACGACGACGACAACGACGGTGGCGGCAGCGACGGCGACGATGACGACGGAGGCGGCTGCCGCGGTAACTCGCAGGGACGCGCGTCGCTCGTTCTCAAAGTAGCAAACGCTCTCTCGGTCGAGTCGGGAGTATTTCCCTACCCAGTCACAGATGTAATAAATAAAAACATCAGTGGGAGCCCGACAAACGGGGAGGATGGGCGTTCTGTGCGCGCAACCGACTATCCGGTTGGCGGAGCCACCAGGGCGGCTGTTCTCGCTATTGGACGGCAGGCTCGCACTGTCTACGCCTTTCGAACCTTCCCCCGAGTGGCGGCGGCTCGGCCACCCGCCCCCCGCGTCCCCCACTATTTGCCAACCTCTGCCACCGACGTGGTAGATGACGACGACTACGCCGGTGAGGACGGTTCCGGGGGCTACCAACACAGAGGGACAACCAGACGCAGACGCGCAGAGAGCCTGAGGACAGTACGACTGGAACGTACTGTACGACGCGAGTGGGGGGATTTCTTCTTTTACCTCACCGGATTTGTCTTCTTTCGTTGTAGGTCTTACGTTCTCTTTCCTGCCACGACTCGCTCGCTCGCGCGTACATATCTCCTCGCCTCACTCCGCTTTTATATCTTTCACTCTTGTCTCTAATTTCGCATGCTGTTCCTCTCTCGGGCATCTTGATTGTTCGTCCGGTCTCTCAAGTCTCGACTCTTGCTCTTGCTTCTTTCTTCGGCTGTCTACACCATTTCAATACGTACCGATCGCGGTTTCTTCACTTCGTTACATCCGATTTTTCCTTTAACAATTCTTCCGTTTAACAATTCTTCGTTTTATTTTCAATTCATTTCATGTTACTGTTTTCTCACGTTTCGCATTCTCAATTCTTCGGGATCGCGTATGCCATTCTCACTTTTCTCTCGTTCTTTCCTATCTTTCTGATACTATTCTCGTCTCCCGCCCCTCCTCGCTTCCTGCTACCCTCCACGTTCTCCGAGTTCCCGCTCTCTCGTGCGACCAGCCCTCTCTGCTTTCTCGCTTTATCTCCTTCTTTCGTCATCCCCCTCTGCGTCACGTGCGCACACACGTACTGCCCGTGTCTCTATCTCTCTCCCTCTTTCTCCCACTGTTCCCTGTCCCTACGACGAAGAATGTCGCCAACGTTCGAATCGATCGCTCGCTTTCGCGCGTACTGCCTCCCTTCTTCACCCTTCTGCCGTCCGCGAGCCCACTCCTCCTCTATCTGCCCCTGCTCCTCTCCCTTCTCTACCTCCTCCTTCACCTCCTCCTCCTCCTCCTCCTCCTCCACCTCAACCTTCTCCGCCGCCACCCTCTCTACTCTTCCCTCAGATCTCCTCTACCATATTCGCCATCAGCATTACACGCGCGCACTTATTTCTTCTGTAGGTAACTCCGCTTTCCTTGCGATCTCTCTCCTACTCTGCCACCCCCTTGCGCCTTCGCCCACCCTTAGTCCACCTGCCCCCTCTCTGTCGCGCGCGCCTCCACGTTTCCTCCGCCTCTCCATCCCCACCAGTCCAGCACATAGGATAGTCTACGCTCTCCGTAGCTCGACACGGTTAGGGTATGGGTGCTTAATATCTTTGTGCCATACCCAAGGCGCCCGTATCCGCCGACAGTTCCTAGAGGTGAACTTTGCCGCGATCGAGTGCCTTGATTCGCGAGACAGAGATGAAAACCGTAACTGTGCAGTGTGCACACACAGATACAAATAATTACTCGAGCGAATGTAACAAACAAGACGTTTAATCTCGAGAGTAGATATATTCCTGATTAAAAGGAGTTTAAAACGAAAGTCTACAAGAAAGGAAGTCGAGTTATTCACATACTAAATAATTAAATATATGCGCGACACGTTTCTCATCTTGAATAAAAGCAGAAAGACTAACTTTTCTTTTTAAGGAGTTTTAATCCGTATCTTAAGCGTGTTTATGGCTCCGTTCAAGCAGAGTGCAAAAAATATACAGCAGGGAAGATCCGAAGCCGGTCTCCGATTATCTCGTCATAGACCGCTTCGTAGCTACTGGGGGGAGGGGGGGAGGGGAGAAGAGTCTAGCGTTCTCTCCTCTCTTTTGGCCGGTCAACCCCTCATCGGCCCGGTGACCCAGATTCGCTAGGGAGACCCTTCGCGATGCGAGTATCGTCGTGTGTGTTATGTGTGTTTATACCGACACGTCCGTGCAACCGTACGCACTCGTACACACGGCCGTATTTCATGCTCACATACAGATTCCACGGTCCATAGATATACGTTTACTCGAAACAGCTGATCCCGTCATCTTATAGATCCCCAAGCGAAACGAAACCCTCTGGGCCTAACCTCTTCATTGAGCGTAAGCGAAAAGGCTGATCGCTGTTCGTACATTTGCAAATCTAGTCTTCGTGCCAATGTAAAGTCCATTTTCAACAATCATATGTCACTTCAGATAATTGAGATTTGGCATTTACGAAAATCGTAACACACATTGAGAGAAAAGTGTTTGGTATTTGTGGTTATAATTGCTTGGTAAAATAATTATGAATAAATACATTGTAAAAATAAATATCTTGATATAAAAAAAATTTTACTTAAGAAAATTATTTATTCGGTGGGTATTAATAGCTTATTTTTTAGTGTCAAAATATTGTATTTTCTGTCAATGTATAGAGCAATAAAATATATATGACAAATTGTGCTAATAGGAAACAAAAGAGAAATATAGAAGAGGAGTCTTTTATTAGTTCATTATTCGTTCATTTTTTCATATCTTTTTTAAAATAATTATGATAAGAGTTCCATTTTTGTGTAATTGTTACTGCTGTAATGTTAGTGATAATAATTATATTTATAGTTCTACCAAAAAAGCATATAGTTGATACCGAAAATGATAAATTATAGTTAAATTATGAAATCATTGCAATTATATTTCTCTCAATGCATTGCGAAAAAGTGGAGCATTTAACTTCGAAAAATTTATGTATGTGTATTACAATCTATTTATCATAATTGCTCACATAACCGCGTACAACGATCTAATAACGGTCAAATAAATTCACTACTGACTACGCTAATATATAATCCGAAAAAAGATTTATGTCAGACAAGTTTGCAAACTGATATTCCTGTAACTTCGAAACCACCGCGGATATGATAAATTGTACGTAAACCCTGTGTCTGTTGAGGAATAAAGCTAGGCTCGAGCAACAACTCGTTCAGAATGGAATAAGAATCGTCTTTGTCTTGCGAGAGGACTATCGATCATGAGATCGATGCGCGTGGTCCGGACAAGTCGGGGACGATCGGCAGGGGACCGATGTTTGCCGCGACCCAAACCACGTCCAATTAGTGGAATTAATACCGGCTGGGCTTTGGGGGAGCTAATGCCTCTGTGTGTGCATACCTACGGGTATGCGCGCCGATGACTGCACTTTCCTTCGTGCGTAATGAAGGACAATCCCGTCATCGTATCTATACCTCGATGCATTCGCTCGTGGAAGCGCGATCACCGCCTCCTCTTGTTCTGCGGTCACCAATGAAATTCCGTAAGTCTACAGACTGTGTACGGCGGTGCTCCATTGAATCGTTAAGAAACTAGACTGGCTAATTTCGCTCGACTACCACCGGAAAGATTCACGCAGTCGTTATGCACTTTGAAAATATGAGCGTTACCAAAGTATTAAATTTCAAGACGGATTTAATGTAAACACATTTGTATTAATCCTAACTACAAGAACATACAGACTTTAATCGATATTTTATGTATCTCATTATATTATACATTTCGAAAAATGTCATCAATCGGTAAGCTATAATTTAAACTGTGAGGCAATACTCCATTGAAGCCCAGTTTCACCAATGTAAGATTAACTTTAATCTTGGTTCAATTTACTTTTTATCTTTTTCTAATTCTAAGAATTAGATAAAGATAAAAACAGTAAGTTAAACCGAGATTAAAGTTAATCTTACATTAACGACCTGAAACGTTAAGAAACTTGACTGGCTCGACTACCGGACAGATTTGCGTAATTGCTATGTATT